GACAGAATTAAATTATCCCATCTTACAACCTTTAATAAAATTGTGGAACTAGACAGTAATCAAAGGCTGCTACTGTCGGTGAAAGGTTAATGGAGAATAGGACAGGCTGGGAATACCTTTATCAACTATTAATCTTAGTATAGCACAAAGAGATAAGTAGACAATATATCCTTGGATGGATATATACACTACCTATTAAAATATTCATGCCAAAATAAAAAAAATATTAAAAAAAATAAATAAAGCCTGTATCAAGTCAAGCTGCCTAATCTTAACTACCAGGAAATAAAAAGGGACAGTCATCTATATATTGGTAAGTACAACTTCAAGGATATCATCAAAAAAATCCAGAATGTGGCAAATTCTTTTTTTTTTTTGGTCTTTTGAGACAGGGTCTCCCTGTAGCCCCAGCTGACCTGGAACTCACTATGTAGACCAGGCTGACCTTGAGCTCACAGAGATCCACCTGCCTCTGCCTCCCGAGTGCTGGGATTAAAGGCATGCACCAAAACCCAGCAGAATGTGGTAAATTCTATAGAACAAGTTACTAGATTAAATAAATGACAAAGGAAAATAAAAGGTGGAACCATATAGGAGACTTAAAGAGACTATAGCATGTGACCTTTATTTAGATCATGGATGGAAGTAAATCAACTATATAAAGTAATTTACAATTCAAACACGGAAATCTGAACATTGACTACTTTGAGGCCTGGAGAGGTGACTCAGCAGTTAAGAGTACTTGCTGCTTTTGCAGAGGACCCAGTTTCAGTTCCCAGTACCCACATGGTAGCCAACAACCATCTGTAACTCCAGTTCCAAGGGATTCAATGGCCTTTCTTCTAGCTTCCTTGAGCACTGTACACACACTGTGCACATACATACACATTCAGGGAAAACATTCATACACAATACATAAATCATGAAAAAATATATTAAACAAGCTTGTTAAAAATTGGGGGGGGGCACTAGAGGTATGGCTCAACAGTTAAGAACACTGGCTGCTCTTGCAGAGGACCTGGGATTGGTTCCTAGCACCCATATGGAAGCTAACAACCATCTGTAACTCTAGTTCCAGGGGATCCGATGACCTCTTCTTGTCCCTGTGGGCATGCACACACATGGTGCACTTACAAACATATAGACAGAACACTCATACACATAAAATTTTAAAAAAAAATTTTAATTTGTGCCACTTGGTGGCACACACTATTAATCCTAGCACTTGAGAGGCAGTGGCAGGCGTAGCTCTGTGAGACTGAGGGCAGCCTAGTCCACATAGCGAGTTTCAGGCCAGCTGGAGCTACAAGGAGATCCTGTCTTAAAACACTAAAAATTTCAATTTCAATTTAAAAATGTAAGAAAAACCAACAGGTCTGCCTTATAAACCCTGGAAATCCATAACACACTTAGTTTTAAGTAATTCTGCCAAGTCATAAACTTTGACACAAAAAATAAATCAGAACACAGAGAACAAGCAAGGTACCAATGAGTAATACAGGCAGACCACCTAACAATCCTAACTCAAGGTGTTTGTTCTTTATTTCTTGATTCCTGATGTGATTAAAAATGTTTTCTTGGGGCTGGAGAGATGGCTCAGCAGTTAAGAGCACCAACTGCTCTTGCAGAGGACCTGGGTTCGATTCCCAACACCCACATGGCGGCTACAATCCATCCTTAACTACAGTTCCAGGGGGATCCAAAGCCCTCTTCTGACCTCTGCGGCATTGCACAACACGGGTGCACTCACATACATGCAGGCAACACACGCATACACATAAAATAAAAATAAAATATTTTTTAAAAAATGAAAAATGTTTTAGCCGGGCATGGTGGCACACACCTTTAATCCCAGCACTCGGGAGGCAGAGGCAGGCGTATCTCTGCGAGTTCAAGGCCTGCCTGATCTACACAGTGACTTCCAGGATAGCTGGGGCTACAGGGAGATCCTGTCTCAAAAAAAAAAAAAAAGTTTTCTTGGTAACAGAAACCAAACTGAGCTGTGCCTCAGTGGTAATAGAGTGCTTGCTGAAGCCCAAGCTTTAATCCTCACCCTGGGGGGTAGGGGGAGGAACCAACTTCCAGGGTCAACAATGGAATGGAGAAGCTTAGAAACTGCTAAGTTAAATGTTGAACTTGGTGATAACTTAAATCAGTGTCAACAAATCACTACCTGCTGTACATGGTGTAAAGAAGTAAGAATAATAAATTCTAAAGTGCTTCATATAAAACTTGAATTTATAGAGAAAACTGTATGCCAGATGGGTTTATGGAGGCCTCAGGAGATATTCCTTGAGAGTGAGAGTCTAACCACTGTCTGTATGTTGTCTCTCTTCTTTCTGTTACAAAGTGAGAATTTTTTTGTAATTCCTTAGTTATTATAATAAATTTCAATGAGAAGACACACAGCATACAAGAAATTATTTTGTCCTTCGAGCTTCTTTGATTTTCTTGAGAATAGGATCTTGCTACATAGCCTACACTTGCCTCAAACACACAATTTTCCTATCTCTAAGTCCTGAGTGCTATGGGTATAGGTGTGCACCACCATACCCAGTTGAACTTTTTGTTGTTGCTGTTGTTTTTGAGACAGGATTTCTCTGTAGCCCCACTTGAGGCTACATACTAGAACTCAGTATATAGACCAAACTGGCTTCCATCTCACAAAGATCTACCTGCCTCTGCCTCCTCACTGCTGAGATTAAAGGTGTGCACCACCATGACTGACAAACTTTTTTTTATATGAAAGTATGGCTCAGGGCTGGAGAGCTGGCTCAGCAGTAAAAAGCAATGGCTGCTCTTATAGAAGACCTGGGTTCGAATCCCAGCAGCCATATGGCGGGTAGCAACTGTCTATAACTCCAGTTCCAGGGGATCTGACGCCATCTTCTGTCCTCCACGGGCACTGCACGACATGGGTGCACTTACATGTAGACATAACACTTATACACATAAACTAAAAATAAAAAAAATTTTAAAAAAAAGTATGGCTCAAACCCAGAACCTAATACATATTAGGCAAATATTCTCCCACTGAAGAATATTACTAGTCCAAAGAAATAATTTTATAATTGTTCTTTTGAGACAGGATATCACTATGTAACCCGGACTGGCCTCAAACTCAGAGATTCCCATGACTCTGTCTCTCAAGTGCTAGAATTAAAGGTCTGGGCCACCATGTCCAGCATGCAAGGAAATAATTTTAAAATAAAATAATAGTGAGCAGACGGGTATAAATGAAAAAAATTTTGGAAAAAAAAATCTATCTGTCTGTCTGTCTATCTACATATCGATTTGTGTGTATGCACAGCCATTGAACTTAGATGTTTAAGATTGGTGGCAAGCACCTTTATCTACTAAGCCATCTTGCCAGCCTCATATATATATATATATAAATTAAAACATGGGGCTGGAGAGATGGCTCAGTGGTTAAGAACACTGGTTGTTCTTGCCAAAGACCCGGGTTCAAATCCCAGCACCCACATGGCAGCTAACAACTGTCCATAACTCCAGTTCCAGGGAATCCAACAGCCTTTTCTGTCCTCAGTGGGCATTAAATGACATGGGTGTGCTTACCTACATGCAGGCAATACATGCATACACATAAAATAAAAATAATAAAATATTTTTTTAATTAAAGCATTATTCATGTAAACTGATAGGATCTTAATCAGCAGAAATCTCATTCCATGTGATCTGTATCAGACCAATCCCTCTAATGTCTGCACCCAGGACCCAGACTGTACACCAGAGTGTTCATGCTGTTTGGCCAAAGATCTGGCTCAAGCATGGGTATGTGAGCCAACACAGAAGTCACAGTCTTTCCTAGCAACTTCCTTTTGGAACATTCAGAAAAGGCCCTCTTTCTTCCTTTGGTGCTGAGCAAACACTATCTGCAGCAGCAAAGACTAATTCATGAGGAAAATGAAGCCCTGATAAACAAAAACAAGAATAAGAATCTACTCTAATGACATCACTAAGGGTCATAGATCTAGATATCCTCAAGTTATTTCTATCCCTGGAGTTTTGTTTTTTGGGATAGGGTCTCCCTGTAGCACCACCTGGCCTAGAACTTGCTATAAAGACCAAGCTGGTCTCAGTCTCACAGAGATCGATCTACCTTCATCTCCCAAGTGCTGGTATTATTTTTGTTTTGTTTTGTTTTTTAGGCCCTGGACCTAAAATAAACTAATGTGAACTTTAAAAAGTCTCTCCTTAGCTTAAGTTAGTTTTAGTTGATGTCCTACCATTTAAACTGAAAATGTTCAAAAGATTTTTCATTAGCAGGGCATGGTGACACATGCCTTCAGCCCCAGAAAGTGGGAGGAACTAGGTGTTCCAGGCCAGCTGGGGATCTGGGGAGACCTAGTATCAAAAAAAAACCAAAACAACAAAGAAGACTTTTTTTTTTTTTTTTTTTTTTTTTTTTTTTTTAAAAACAGGGTCTCCCTGTAGCCCCCGCTGTCCTGGAACTCACTATGTAGACCAGGCTGGCCTTGAACTCACAGAGATCCGCCTGCCTCTGCCTCCCAAGTGCTGGGATTAAAGGCGTGTGCCACCACACCCGGCTGCAAAGAAGACTTTTTATTGCACAAAGAAAAATAATTATTTTACCTATTAAGTCCAGTAAATATTCTAGCACATTTCATCATAAAGAATACTTTTTAGAGGCTGGAGAGATGGCTCAGGGATTAAGAGCACTAGCACCCACATGGCAGCTAACAACTATCCATAACTCCAGTTCCAGGGGATCTGACACTCTCTTGTGATCCACAGGCATTGCACACCATGGGTACACTCACATACATGCAAGCAATACATTCATATGCATAAAATAAAAATAAGATAAAAGAACACTTTTTAGATTATATTGAGTTCTTACCTTCAGATCACTTGTCTTTACCTTAGTAAAAGGAAAATTCTATTTTTCTGAGTTATAAATAGAACTATTCATGGAATACACAACATGAAACCCTGTATAAATGTAATCAAGTACTCACACTCATCCAGCCCCAGCTGATAGGCCAGGTTCTGTAGGCCTCGTACCTTCTCCATTAAATTAGCTGTGGTGAGGCTCCCCAGTTCTGAAATAGAATCATTTATTTCAGTATCATTTCTTCACACTCTTCTCTAGCCAACAATTTGGTTTGAGAATCTTAGTTATGAAAGAATTCAGTCTGGGCTAGAGGTATAGCTAAATGCTGGCGATCTGGCCTAGTATGCAGGAAACCCTGGATTTGATCCCCAGTACATTGAGGAGCTAGGACTTCTTCAACAAAAACAGTGAAGTTTTCTACTACTGCAAAATTACCTTAGCATAATACAGTAACAAACTCATTTTTCAAATTTTTAAAAATTTTTTTATTTGGTGTGTGTGCCCATGCCATCACAAGTGTGTGTGTGTGTGTGTGTGTGTGTGTGTGTGTGTGTGTGTGTGTGTGCCATTGCATATGTGTCAGAGGAAAACAGCAGGAGTCAATTCTCTCTTTCACAAAGATTGAACTCAAGTCATGAGCCTTGGCAACAAGCACGTTTAATTGCTTAGCTATCTTACTGGCACAAATGTTTTATTCTAAGGATCTGTTCATATTTTTCTATCATACAAGATAAATATATCATTAAAGCAGACACATCTTGATCCTATAAAATGGATATTGTTGGGCTGGAGAGATGGCTCAGTGGTTAAGAGCACTAATTGCTCTTGCAGAGGACCGGGGTTCGATTCCCAGCACCCACATGGTGGCTACAAACTGTCCTTAACGCCAGTTCCAGGGGAATCCGAAGCCCTCTTCTGATCTCCACGGCATTGCATGACACGGGTGCACTCACATACATGCAGGCAATACACTCATACACATAAAAAATAAAAATAATAAATAAAATATTTAAAGAAAAGGATATTGTCTCCATTTCTAAGTCCCCATGATTTCAACCAGCAATGACAGCAACAAAACACTGCTCCCCATTTCCCTAACTGTAGAAAACAAAAGCTAAATACAAATTTAAACTTTTCCTTCAAATCAAATTTTTTAGTTAATTTTTATATATTGTACTTTACTACCAAGATTTTATTCACTTAAAATAAGTTACTTCCCAGAATTTTTTTTTTTTTTGGTGTTTTTGAGACAGGGTTTCCCTGTAGTCCCAGCTATCCTGGAACTCACTATGTAGACCAGGCTGGCCTTGAACTCATAAAGAGGCCTGCCTCTGCCTCCCAAGTGCTGGGATTAAAGGCGTGCGCCACCATGCCCGGCTTCTTCCCAGATTAAAAAAATATATATTTTATTTATTTTTCTTTTTATGTGTATGAGTGTATTGCCTGCATGTATGTAAGTGCACCCATGTCATGCAATGCCCGGGAAGGTTAGGAGAAAGTGTTGGATTCCCCTGGAACAGAAATTATGGATGGTCAGATGCCACATGGGTGCTGGGAATCAAACCCGGGTTCTCTACAAGAATAGTCAGTGCCCTTAACCGTTGAGCCATCTCTCCAGCCCCATTGCCCAGATTTTTTTTTATGTAAATTAGAAAAAAATTTATTTTAGTTTATGTGTATGAGAGTATTTGCCTGCATGCATGTTAGTGATTGCCTGCAGAAGACAGTTATTAGATACCTTGGAGCTGGAGTTACAGATGGTTATTAGTCACCACGTGGGTGCTGGGAATGGAAACCGAGTCCTCTGCAAGAGTAGCCAGTGCTCTTAACTGCTGAGTCATCTCTCCAGGCCCCCAGATTTTTATTTAAATATCACCTGATTCCTCTGTTTTAAATCACAGATCAGTTTGCATAAAACAATGCTATTAACTCTTACTAAAAATTTAAAGTTTTTTCATGCAGAGCATGGTGGGGCACGCCTTTAATCCCAGCACTGAGGAGGCAGAGGCAGGCGGATCTCTGTGAGTTCCAGGCCAGTAGGGACTACAGGGACACTCTATCTCAAAAAGACTAAATAAATAAATAAATACATACATACATACATACATACATAAAATTTAGAGTTTTCTTAGGAAATATAAGCTGATAGTTTATTATATAAACATATTTAGAGTATCATGACAATGAATCTGTGATGCCCTTGAGACTTAATTTTTCCATGGATAGAGAAGCAAACTTCAGTTAAACATGCAGAACAGTGGATTACTTCTAAAATCACAGAAAGGCGTTTTGTTCTTCCATTTTTGCCCTGCAGTCATTCTGCGTCTGTCTTAAGTAGACTTTCTTGACCAGCTCAGCTGCTTAAATAAATAGTTCAACAATCCCAGACTTCTACTTTTAGTCTGTTACTTCAAAACCATTATGTAGATTATAAAAAACAGCAAATGAATCATAAAATTATTTAAGATGTTATTTAATTATGTGTATGTGTGTGTCTGTGTACACTCTCTATACATGACTGTGGGTGCCTATAAAGGCCAGAGGTGGCAGCTTCCTTTGCAGTTGGAGTTACAGGAAGTTGTGAGCTGCCTGATGTGGGTGCTAGAAATTGAACTCAGGTTCTCTGCAAGAGTAACAAGCGCTCCTGCCCCCTAATGTTTTTTAGTTTAAATTGCCACTCTTGGATTGAGTTCCAAATCATTCATCAAACAGTATTCACTACTCACAGAATTCCTTATGGAAGAAATTGAAAGGAAAGACTGAAATAAAAGATATGTCTAAACTCACTAAGTGGTTGTCATTTAACAGCACTAACAACAATATATGGCTTTAAAGCCTATAAATAAGGCAGTTCTATCATAGTAGAGACTAGACTTAATAATATCAGAGATTAAACTTCAACATTTTCTAATATTTACATTGGTTAATTAACCTCTAAACTTTGGTTATTATCATACCTAGCAGGGTCTTTATGAGAATTGAGAAAATTTATGTGAGAGGTTTTATTCTTGTTCATTGTATACATTCTACAAAATAAGTTACCAGGAAAAGGAATAATAGCAGAAGAATTCATTGTGACTTAGTCTTGAATTGGTTGGATTTCTGCACAAAGAAAAAGTAGAAAAAAGTATTCCAGCCAGACATGAAGAAATATGAAGATGGATAGTAAAGTAGGGACTGTGAAGTCAAGAACACTGTGAAAGAATAGAGAAAAATTACAAAATGGTTTGTTGAAGAATGAAAATCCAACAATAAAACTTAGAAGTCAGGGCTGAAGAGATGGCTCAGCAGTTAAAAGCAGTGGCTGCTCTTGCAGAGGACCCAAGTTCGACTCCCAGCACCTGCATGATGGGTAACAACCGTCTGTAACTCACTTCCAGGGGCTCCAACACCCTCTTCTAACCTCTGCAGGCACTATAAAACACAGGTGCATTTACATACATGCAAGCAGCACACTCATACATATAAAATAAAAATAATAAATAAAATATTAAAATAAAAAACTTAGAAGACAAGCCAGGCTTGGTGGCTGCCTATAGTTCCATATATCAAGGCTGAGACAGGATCTCATGTGCTCAAGAGATTCAACTGAGCAACATTAGTGAGACTGCATTAAAAACAAAAACGGGCTAGAGAGATGGTTCAGCAGTTAAGAACACTGGACAGTACATGGCAGTTAATAACTGTCTTCAACTCTAATTCCAGGGACTCTGACGCCCTCTTTTGGCCTCTGCAGACATTGCACACATGTGATACACTTAAACATATGTAGGAAAAATACTCATACAAAAAAACACTCAAAAAAAAAAAAAACCCACTGGGAATTCTTGCAAAAGACAGGGCTCCACTTTCAGGGCCCTCACAGCAGTTAAAAACCATTTGCATATCCAGTTCCAGGGATCCAATGCCCTCTTCTGGCCTCCATGGACATTGCATGTACATGGTGCAATTATACACATGTAGGCAAAACACTCACTCATACACATAAAATTAAAAAAAAAATTTTTTTGAGACAGGGTTTCCCCATAGCCCCAATTGGCCTGGAACTCACTAGGTAGACCAGGCTGGCCTTGAACTCACAGAGATCTGCCTGCCTCTGCCTCCCAAGTACGGGATCAAAGGTGTGCACCACCACACCTGGCATAAGTTAAAAAAAATTTAAAACAAACACAAAGATAGCAGACACCAGTGTTACTTACCTTTCAACATGTCAATGTCATCACGTTCAATTTCAGCCATCCATTTGGGTGGAGAGCTAGTGATAGGCTGACAGGAAGTAAGGAAAAAGCCATTCAGGTATATCCTTCTTATGAGAAATGTAGCTTGTCAAACTCAAAATTTTAAACCCCAAGTTTTTCTAGATTCAGGTATGACTTAAAATGTCACTTTCAGCATGCACAAGACCCACAACACCAAACATCAGACAAAAACACAGCAGAGAATGAGGGAAATGGGCTATAGGCCCCAACCCTAGCTGAAGAACTATTGGCAACTGATTACTGCAATGTGAGGGTTAACAGATCTTCTTTTAGGGACTGATTGTAGGTTAACTAGACTTCAGTAGATGAACTTGTACCATGGGACATCTGGGTACAAATGCTTGACTGGATAGGACATAACGTATATGACAGAATGCATGAAATTCAGTGGATGGGGGAGGGCCATCTAAATTTGATTAAGATTCATTATATGAATGCATAAAAACTCAGTAAAATATTTTTTTAAATGTCATCTTATAAGCACACCTTTAATCCTAGCACTCAAGAAGCAAAGACAAGGTAGATTTCTGTGAGACTAAAGCCAGACTGGTCTACATAGTGAGTTCCAGGCCAGCTGGGGCTACAGGGAGACCCTGTCTTAAAAAGACCAAAACAACAACAACAACAAAAACCCCGCAAAAAGTCACTTTACAAAATAATGCTGTTCATTTTTAAAGTTGCTCTCAGAGAAATGATTGAGGGAATTTGGTATGACTACTATTACTATTTCATGCATGAGCTAGTATAGCAATGAAATTACTTGAAATTCTGTTCTTTTGAAAGACTCCAACTGAAATGTCTGAAACAACAATTAGTAATATTCTCTGGTACAAAGAAGAATAAAAAATGACAAAACCCTTAACTCAAATGAGAAAAAAATGAAAGGGTCATCACTTGAGATTTCATAATTTAAAAAAATTATTCACATTTATTTGTATGTGTATGCACGTGCATAGGCATACCCACAGCAGGTGTGTGGAGGTCAGAGGACAACTTGTGGGAATTGGTTCTCTCCTTTCACCATGTACATCCCAGGGATTGAACTCAGGTCTTCAGGCTTGATGACAAGAGTCTTTACATGCTGAGCTATCTTATCAGCTCAGATTTCATAGTTGTAAAAATTTTAGAAATTTCAGCATTTTAGATTATCTTCTCATTTCTGCAAATAAAAATATAAAAGACCATTTGCAAGGTCAGTGGTTTTCAAGACCAGTTGCATGAGAATCACCTCGGTAGTTTTGAAAAATAATAAATGCTACTGGACATGGTAAAATGTGACTACAATCTCAGCAAAGTCTGAAGCAGAAGGATTATGAGTTCAAGGCCAGTCTGGGTTACATAGTGAGGTCATCTCCTATGTGCCCCAACCCCCCAAAAGTGCTGGCCATTCCCAGATATACTGACTTAAACTAACAAGACCATTAAGAGGGGCTGGAGAGATGGCTCAGGAGTTAAGAGCACTGGCTGCCCTTGCAGAGGACCTCGGTTCAGTTCCCAGAACCCACATAGCAGCTCACAATTATCCATAACTCCAGATACCAGGGAATCTGACAACCTCTTCAGGCTTCCATGGTTATATGCACATATGTTGTACATACATACATGCAGGCAAAACACATATTAACTCATACACATAAAATAGTATTTTTTTCAAAAGAGGGTCTAGTAGAGGGGCTGGAGTGATGGCTCAGCAGTTAAGACCGCTGGTTGCTCTTTTGCAGCGGCCCTAGGTTTGGTTCCAACATCCACATGGTAGCTTACAACCATCTCTAGTTCCAGAGACTCTGATATGCTCTTCTGGCCTATTTGCACCAGGCATGTATGTGGTACACATATATACATGCAGACAAGCACACACACACACACACACACACACACAAACATATATAATATTTTTTAAGTCTAAAAAAACACAAGAAAAATAAAAGGAAGAAAAATATATTCTGCCAGGGGATGTTAAGAGTCTTGTGATATACCTGAACCCCTAGAAATAATCTCAAAATATGTGCATATTTCTAGAGAAAAAGTACAAATATATTTTATGGTTTGAATGTAAAATGATATGAAGCATCAATAGGGAGTAGGTGCCTTCATTGTGCACCTGGCTAGTGTAAACTAAAACTTTTAAGTTATAAATATAATTTTAAAGCACTTTTAAAAATTATATTTATAGCCAGGCATGGTGGCGCATGCCTTTAATCCCAGCACTTGAGAGGCAGAGGCAGGCGGATCTCTGTGAGTTCAAGGCCAGTCTGGTCTACATAGTGAGTTCCAGGACAGCTGGGGCTACAGAGAGACCCTGTCTCAAAAAGGCAAAAAAAAAAAAAAAAAGATTTAGTTGCAACCAAATAAATTAATTAAACTGAAAACTAAGTATAAATGAGAATGAAAGAAAATTAAATCATCTGCTCAATCTACCAGATAAAAGGGAACCAAATTGTAATAGCTATATATTGTTACTTCTTACGTTTTAGACACTATAACATTTTACATGTATTATGACATTTTAAAAATATTTTATTATTTTTATGTGTATGAGTGTATTGCCTTCAGGTATGTAAGTGTACCTGTGTCGTACAATGCCCTCAGAGTTCAGAAGAGGAAGTTGGATCTCTTGGAACTGGAGGTAAGGACAGTTGTTAACTGCCATGTGGGTGCTGGCAATTGAACCCAGGTCCTGCAAGAGCAGCCAGTGCTCTTAACTACTGAGCCATCTCTCCAACCCCATATTATGACATTTTATACTAACAATTCTTTTCTTCTATTTTAGCTAAATTATTTGAGTCTGTGTATGATGTGGATTGGTGGGCATGAATACCATAGCACACATTTTATAGGTCAGATAATAACTTCATGAAATTAGTTCTCCCCTTCTACCTTTATGAGGGTTCCAGGGATCAAACTTGAATCTTCAGGCTTGCATAACTAGAGTCTTTACAAACTGAGCATCTCACTAGACTTATACTAAGAATTCTACAAGGTAGACCAAAGTTCATTTTCCTATAAATAAGCAAAAGTGTTGAGAGATGGTAATATGACCCTCTAACTTAGCAGCTTGTGGATCATCCCTTTCTACTCTCACTGAGCTGAGCAAAGGAAACATGACCCTTATGCCAGTAACACTGCACAGATGCCTTGGGGAAACTAAGAATGCAGCTGCTTGCTCTGGCTCCTGAAGGTACAGCCTGAAAAAGACTGCTTCGATAGCCTGCACTGGACATTTTGCTAACAAAAGCCTCAGTTAACTCTAGGTGATCCTGTAATTTTACATCTACGGAGAAAGAGAAGCACTTCTAGTGGCCTCATAAAGAGACTGCTGTGACTGGTTCAAAAGAGACAATGCTATGAATGATGCAAACACAGGCCTTCATTTACGTTGTATTTGAAGTTTGCTATGATTGATACAAACACTCCCTTTTTTTTGGCTATGTAAGAAATCTGTTCAGCTCACCTCATATGTTAAACAAGTTGGGAGACACTTCCTGCAACATAAGGTCTAACAAAAAGCTTTTCTTAGGCCAGGCATGGTGGCGCAAACCTTTAATCCCAGCACTTGGGAGGCAGAGGCAGGCAGATCTTTGTGAGTTCGAGGCCAGCCTGGTCTACATAGTAAGTTCCAGGACAGCTGGGGAGACGCTGTCTCAGAAAGACAAAAAAAAAAAAGCTTTTCTTAAGTGGTCTTTTGGGGATGAGTTCAAATAGTGCAGGCTGAACTGGTAACACCTAGAAGCAACAGCAGGGATAGCAGAGGTGTAAGAGAAAGAGGAGTAGCAGAGACAAGTGAAGCAGCCAGCTGTGTGACAACCAAAGAAGGGGTAGACCTGAGCAGTCGGCAGGCAGAACTGCAAAAGCAGCAGAACAGTCAGTTGCATAGACAGCTGCAAAAAATCAGAGCCACAAGACCAGTAGCTGACAACGGCAGCCGCTGCTTGGCAAACAGCAGCAACTGTAACAGAGGCCATAGAGAAAAGAGACAGCTGAACAGCTCAAGATAGTAATCAAGTCAGGAATAAGGAGGAAGGCAAAAGAAGAGAGAGGGCAAAGAGCTAAGGTTGAAGGATAGAAGGCTATAAAAAGTCAGAGAAAAAAATTGCAGGCCTTGGTCCCTTGAACGTTCTAGAGACGTCAAGGCCCCAGGCCCAGGAACTTAAATACTGGTCTCTATCAAGGACTGAAGAATCCTAACATCTATCCCCACCTGGGAGCAGCATGTCCAACCAGCTGCTCTCAAAGACTGAGGAATCCTAACTTCCTATGTCTACACAAGAACTGTACTAGCTGTACAGCTGAGGGTCCATCACCCCAGACCTGCATAAGAGATTTAACACTGGAGGATACCACTTGTTTCTGCTTGTTCCCACCGATTGTCAAGGGATTCAAAGGCTGCCAAAGACAAGCACTGAGAGCTACTTCTAGCCTCCCCATGATTTCTATCCAAGACAAGCAAAAGGACCCCAGCAGCTGACTGGTAACACAAGTTTCTTAAGAAAAAAATTTTTAATTCATTTTTATTTTATGAATATGAGTGTTTTGCCTGCATGTACGTTAAGTGCACCATGCCTGCGAAGATCAGAAGATGGTGTCGGATCCTCTGAAACTAGAGTTCCAGACAGTTGTTAGCTGCCATATAGGGGCTGGGACCCAAACCTGGGTCCTATACAAGAACAGCCAGTACTCTTAACCACTGAGCCACCTTTCTAACCTCGTAATACAGATTTCCAATGGAGCACAGAGAAATCCAAAATCCTCTAGCTAGGTTTAAGTTAAGGCTATACTGTATCACATTAAACAAGAAGAAAGCTCCAAAATTATATTTGGGTTGGGGGGACTAGTGTTACAGCAAGTATTTCAACTGCCTAACCTTAAAGCTTTCAAACAAGAAAGAGGTTAATAGACAAAGGTTGGAATGTCAAAATAAAGTATTTGAACAGAGGAAGGCATTATCAACAGTAAATATGGTAATATACACAGTTAAAGGACTATAAAATGATTAGAAGACTATGACATTAGTCTTGAAAATAAAGATTTGAGCTTCTACCTAAGAGCAAAAACTTAGGCTAAACTTCAACAGATATAAGCTATTACTTACACTTTTGAAAGAAGATGCAAATTCAGCAACGCCGGGTACTAAAAAGGAAAAAATCAAAACAAAAAACAATGTTATTCATTCAAGAAAGATTTGAGTGTTTGGGCATAGAGGATTCAAATTTTGAAGAAAAAAAAGCCTTGCAGGCTGGAAAAAGACAGAGTAAATCAGTAAACACCAATAATCTTAAGCATTTCAAGAAAGATGTCAGGTGCTATGGGAGGACAAAGAAATAGAAATTTAAATCAGATTGAGGGGCAGGAAGAACTTTTCTAATTAAACAATGTCTCAGCCAAGTTTAAGGGACCAGGAATTGGCTGGTAGGTTGATGAGATACAGTATCTCTTACCAAAGTTTAAACTTTCTTTCCAGGGCTAGAGAAATAGCCCAGTGGTAGAGTGCTTGTCTAGCATTCACAAGACCCTGGGTTTGATTCCCAGGACTGTAAATAAAATAAAATAAACTTTTTCAGCTATCCTGTTGTATCAATCAAATGATTTATTCAAATGTCTCACAGAATCACATTAAAAATCAGAAAAGAAGCTGGCCGCATGCCTTTGATCCCAGCACTTGCAGAGGCAGGCGGGTCTCTGTGAGTTCAAGGCCAGCTGGGACTACAGGGGAGACCCTGTCTCAAAAACACCAAAATAAATAAATAAATAAATAAATAAATAAATAAATAAATAAATAAATAAATAAATAAATAAATAAATAAATAAATAAATAAATAAATAAATAAATAAATAAATAAATAAATAAATAAATAAATAAATAAATAAATAAATAAATAAATAAATAAATAAATAAATAAATAAATAAATAAATAAATAAATAAATAAATAAATAAATAAATAAATAAATAAATAAATAAATAAATAAATAAATAAATAAATAAATAAATAAATAAATAAATAAATAAATAAATAAATAAATAAATAAATAAATAAATAATTTAAAGTGAAATGATGTTTGATTTTATTAATCAAGAAATGCAAGCTAGGGGCCGAACAGATGGCTCAGCGGTTAAGAGCACTGGCTGCTCTTACAGAGGACCCAGATTCAATTCCCAGCACCCACGTGGTGGCTAACAACTATCTGTAACTTCAGTTTCAGGGGATCTGACACCCTCTTCTGACCTCCATGGGCACTGTGTAATATGGGTGCACTTACATACATGCAGGTAATACACTCATACACATAAAATAAAAACAATAAATAAAAACATAAAAAAGAAATGAAAGCTAGAGAGCTGGAGAGAAGTCTCAGCAGTTAAGTGCACTGGGTGTTCTTGCAGAGGACTGGGGTTAGGTTCCCAGCATGCACATGACAGTTTACAACCTCCTATAACTCCAGGTCCAAGGGATTCAACAACCCTCTCTGGCCTCTGCTGGCATTGCTCAGCATGGGTACACTTACATACATGCAAGCAAAACACTCAAATACATAAAATAAATAAATAAATAAATAAATAAATAAATAAATAAATAAATAAATAATAAAGCTTAAAAAAACCTAAAACAAAACAAAAAAATCTAATCATTACAGATACATGACAACTCTTCAAAAATCTCCCAAAAGAACACTGGTTTTCCTGCATTTATTCTGGTATGAAAAAAGTAAAAAGTAAAAACTTACATTGTTCTGGCCAAAGATCTGGTGAAGCACGGTCAAGTTTCTCAAAACTTAGCAAAGATGCTTCCAAATCTGTCCCTAGAACCAAACATGAAGATGAGGCAAGAAATATATTATCTTTTATTTTATTATATTCCAATCTCAAAGAACATAAACTGAAACACTCTAATGAAAGTTTAGAGATATCTACCATGGTTACTGCAGTATGCTATAATACAAATAAATGATTCTGCCTCACTAAACCTCACTCTTCCAATCTATAAAATAGGAGTAGTTAAGAAAATTAAGGAGTATTTAGATAAATGAATATGAGTTGGACATGATGGTCTACATATGCAATCCCAGCACTTAGGATATTGAGGCAAAAACACTGAGTTCCAGCCCACCTGAACCCTGCCTCAAAAAAAAAACAAAAAAAAAAGAAACCATGCCAACAAATCCACTAGTCTTCATTCTCTTCAGTTTCCCTCCAGTTACATCAGCTGTTAAGTATCCCTGCTCTAATGAAAGATAATCTACGCTAAGATTATATGCCATCTTCTTTTGCTTTGACAAGGACATCACCTCAAATAATCTTCTTGCATCATCAGTTTCTACTTTAGGCTTACATTCAAGCAAACCTGGTCTAGAATTTCTCTTTTTATTTCAAACTTTTTCCATTTTCTACTTATGGGGGAAGGTTGCATGCCATGATAACTGCAGGAGCTGGTATTCTCCTTCTACCATGTGGGTTCTGGGTTCAAACTCAGGTTGTCAAGCTTGGTGGCTAATGCCATCTTGGCCCAGAATTTCCCTGCTCTTAAAAAAAAAAAAAAAAAAAAGGCTAGCTGGGCATGGTGGTGCATGCCTTTAATCCCAGCACTCGGGAGGCAGAGGCAGGCAGATCTCTGTGAGTTCAAGGCCAGCCTGGTCTACATAGTGAGTTCCAGGACAGCTGGAGCTACAGGGAGACCCTACTTCAAAAAGACGAAGAAAAAAAAAAAAAAAAAGGCTGGAGAGAAACTTAGTAAAGTGCCCAAGTTCAATCCACAGAACCCACATGAAAAAAACTGAGTGTGATGGCACATGTTTGTACTCCCAGTGTTGGAGGAATCTGAGGCTTGCTGGTTAACCACTCTAGCCTACTTGGTGAGGTCAGAGCAATGAGAACTCTGTCTCAACAAGGTGGAAGACTCTTGGAATGCCACCCAAAGTTAGCATCTGGCCTCCACAAGCATGTACACACACATGCATGCATTCATATATGTACAAACTCTCTCCTTAAACCTATAACCTCTCTCCTGGGTAAACCGCTGTCTTTACTTCCTTAACTCACTCTTTGTGTGTGTGTGTGTGTGTGTGTGTGTGTGTGTGTACTGGTGGGGGCCAGAGGAGGATGTTAAGTGGTCTTCCTCTTCCTCTATTGCTCTCAAATATATTGCCTTGAGCCAGGGTCTCTCACTAAACCAGAAGCTAGCATTTTTTGCTTTGCTGGCTAACCAGCAAGCTCTTAGTATCTTCCTGTCTCTGTCCCCCAATGCTGGGGTTGCAAGCATACCAAGCCATGCCTAGCTTTTTCTAATCCCCATGAGTGCTGGGTATTAGAACTCAAGTCCTCATAACTTGAAGACCAAGCTTCCTTACCCACTTCCCAGCCACTATGCTCTCTCCTTAACCTACAACAACCATGCTTCTGTCCCTACATAAGGAAACTGTTGCTATTAAGGTTATCTGTGACTACCTTGCTAAATCCAGCAGTCCTTTATGCTATGTGACATCTCTGTTGCACCCACATACCCTAATGGCCCTACTCCCTGCATCTATGAAACAATTGTACTGGTGCTTCTCCTAGTCAATGATTCCTCCCTTTAGTCTCCTCCACTCAGGCCCCATCCTAAGTTGGCTCCACTCTCTATCACAACCTTTACCATCATATACCAATGATTCTACATTAATATTTCTAGTCTTCACCTTCTTCCTTAACTTCAGAATCTTATGTCCAAGAGGCTACTTGATGTCTTTCTCCATTTACATGTGGAAAAACTCCTTAAACCTACTATAGTCAAAACGCATTTTCTCAATCCATCTATCTCAAGAAACTGCAATACCATGTTAAACTAAAACCCAAGTTTTTGTTAAACCAAAAACCCAGTTGTCATTTCCCCATGCCTTTGTTTTCTGCTGGCAAGAAAAAAGACATTTTAGAAGAAAAACAAACAAAAACCAACACCCAAGCAGAGGCATCCCTTTTGATTCTGAGCATCCACAATTTCTTATGAGATATATAAATGTGCCCCAAACTTGAGATGCAGTTCAAAAACTCTGAAATCAAACAGCAGGCCTGCATAGTAGCACAGACCTGTAATCCCAGCACACTGGAGGCACAAGAAGGGAAGAAGGAGGTGTCTGAAGTCAACCTGAGCTATGGAGTGAGACCCTATCTAAGAAAAGAAGGAAAGGAGGAAGGGAGGGAAAGAAAATTAATATTATTTCTGCATATAATTTAATCATCCTTTTCGGTGTTAGAGATTGAACCTAATGCCTCACGCATGCTAGGTAAGCCCTCTACCACGGAGCTGCAGTCCCCACTTAAAAAACAAACAAACGGGCTGGAGAGATGGCTCAGCAGTTAAGAACACTGGCTGTTCTTGAAGAAGACCCGGGTTTGAATCCCAGCTCCCACATGGCAGCTAAACACTGTCCATAACTCCAGTTCCAGGGGATCCAACAGTCTCTTCTGTCCTCCGCAGGCACTGCATGACACAGGTGCACTTACCTACATGCAGGCAATACATGCATACACATAAAATAAAAAAATATTTTTTTAAAAAACAACAATAAAAATAAAACCTTTTATTTGAAACCTAAGTTGCCCAGGCCTTTAAGTAGCTCTGTAGCCCAGGCAAGCCTTGAACTAAGATCCTCCTGCCTCAGCCTCCTAAGTAGCTTGGATAACAAACCTGCACCATCAGGCCCAGATTCATCTTTTTTTTTTTTTAATTGACTGATTTTCCTGTCTGAGTGTTTTGCCTGCATGGATGTAAGTGTATCTATCACATGTGTGCAATGTCCACATAAGCCAGAAGAGGGCATCTGGTCCCCCTTCGAACTGGAGTGATAATCAGTGGTTAGCCACCATGTGCGTGCTAGGAATCAAACCCAGTTCCTCTGCAAAAGCAGCCAATGTACTCTTAACCACTGAGCCATCTCTCCAGCCCTCCAACTTCATCTTTTGATAAATGTTAACTGAAGGCCAACTACTTTGCAAGCACTAAGCTAAACTCTCGTATTAAACTATGAAACAAGACAGACTTAGAATTTATAATTGGGTGTGACAGGGCAAAGTTAATAGAACTATGCTGATAATGAAGATACTGAGATACTGAATAATGACAGAGAGGAGCAATTCCAAATACTAAAGCAGAACAGAGAGCAAAAGCATATGGTATGAAACGAAAATACCTAGTTGCCACCTGAGATGACTTGCCTCTTAAGACACCTAACAAGCAGTTCTTGCCATCAGCCTAAGAAAGCAACACACAAAGAAAGGAGCTGAGACGCGTGCGAAACTCCATTCACAAGCTCAAGTCTCATTTCCCTGGAGACTAAGAGCCAGGAAAGGAGAAGGTCCCCGCTTCTCCTGCTGCCAGGTGAGCTGCCCTAAACTGAGGAGAGAAGCCTGTTTCTCCTGCAGCTCGCTCCAGGGATGAACCCCAGCCCTTACGTCAGTCACCACCCCCTGCTAGGGCTAGGAGAGCTTCGGTCCATCAGCTCAAACGAGAACAGAATTACCACTGCCCCTAAGAGAAAGCTCCTTCTCCCCTACAAGTATCTCCTTCCAATCCTCAACATCACTGATGGGCCAGGACCTTTATCCTTTCACTTGGAAAGAGTCTTGGGCTGGTGGCCTCTTCCATCCGCCTGGTCCACAGAGGAAACACCGGGTACCCGGCACCTCGGGAGACGCTGTGAAGACCCTGCCAGCTGAAAACCAGAACACATCCGGAAGAAGTGAAAGAGAAAGGAGAGGACCCCAAGAGAACATGTAAGTGTGCGGGGCATCTGGGGAGCGGAAGTTCCCAGAGAACCAAGGAAAGAGACTACAGGCCAAGGATCTCTGAGCCGGCTCTTACCGTCTGTGGGAGACGCCATCTTCCAACCCATGTCACGTGACGTGGCTAACCGTCGGCGGGAAAAGCCAGGCTCCACAAGCCACGCCCCCCACGGAGAGAACCTATTCCCAGCTCGCGGCCGGGTCTCGTTCCCCCGCCCCAGGGCGGTATTTGCTTAACCCCGCCCCTGAAGACAGTCCCACCTTGGCGCGGTTGGAAGGATTTTCCGAGGGCCTTACTTACTTTCCTCAGGGAGGGGGCGGGACCTCGGAGCCTGCCTGTAGCCAATCGGGGTTCCCGATTAGGGGGCGTCTTCCCTGTGTGTTGAAGATACACAACCCAAGTCGGGGCGCGTCTCCAGATCTCCGCCAACGAAAATTGTCTGAGATGGGAGGGAACGAGAACGCCTCCACTTCTGACCAATCACCTATCCCCAGGGCTGGAAGTGCTGGGTGGAGTCGATGCCTCTGGCGAGTGATTGGCTAGAGGCCATAGCCCTCTCGTCCAATGGGAAGGCTCAGCCGTGTGGAGGCTAGGCCTGGCGGTGTTGCTGCTGGGCGGGCCCTGGCGGCGGAGGCACGGGGAGCTGGCCAGAGGCGGTGGCAAGCCATGGCGGCGGCGGTGGTGGCGGCGGCAGCAGCGCGGTCCCGGATCCTGCAGGCGAGTGAGGGTGGCGCCGAGGGACCGTGAAGCTAGGACTGCATCCTTTCCGCCCCTCTCTAAGCCCTGCTCCCGCGGGACCGACTTCTGGGCCCTGCCCCTTCTTTGCCGACCCTGCTGTTGCACGCCGACCCGTGTGTCCAGGTCCCACACTGTCACTCCGTACTCTCTCTGGTCCTGGACCCAGCGCTGGACCAGCACGCCTGGCCCTCTTCCCGTTTACTCCTGAGCCTTTTTTCTGGCTCCGATTCAGTTCTGCTCGGACCCAGCTGTCACTCGCTCCCGTGCTCGCTTACTTGCTCTCTCCGGCTCCGCCCACGATCTCTCTCTCTCTCTCTCTCTCTCTCTCTCTCTCTCTCTCTCTCTTCCCCAAAAACTCCCCTTTCTGGTCACTTTTCTTAAGGCACTTTCCTCTGGCAGTAGGGTCTAAGTTGCTCCCTTCCCCCATCCAGCCTCTGTTCATAATCCGAGGTAAGGGGCGCGGGGGCTCGCAAGGAACACTGAACGAGGATCAGCAATTGAACTTTGAATCTTTTAGAAATGTACACTAGGTTTTCACCAAAGGCAGCCATTTGTTAGCTGCTTTCACCAACTATTATGGCTCTTAGTGTTTTTCATAAGCTCTCAGCAAAGTTAAACAGTTAAGTTTTGGAAGTAGATAAGGGCACATTGTTCTGCTACTGCCACTTTTATGTTCATTCAAAGACCTAAACATCTCCAAAACAGGTGGTAGGAAATTAGAACTGAGGAAGACAAGTTCCCAAAGTCAGCTCCTCAAGTGCCAACACACCTCCAGTCTGGGATTGGAGCCCCTCAGAAGCCAGGCTAAGGGGACCTTGTAGAGCTACAGAAGTGCATGCCTGTGACCCCCAGCTTTGTTTATAGTCTTTTTTCCTGTTGGTACCTTAGCAAGGACTTAGAATATGAGGCAAGATTTACTTTGCTTTTTAGCAAGATGCATAAACCTGCAAGAAGCGACATCATCTTATTCCTCTGGCCTGGGAATGTCCCCTACATTGCACTTACAATATGCAGTATTTGTATTCACCAGAACAGAACTCACTTCCCTGAGTTCTATTACAGAAATGTATGTGTTTGTGAGACTCTTGGCAGAGTCAGTGAAGGCTCATGTTTGAATAGGCTGTTTAAGAGAATGAGCTTGAGGCCTTGAGGGGTGGCATGGTTTCGCTCTCCTAGCTCTGTTCTGGTGTCTTTCTAGTAGCATGGAAACAAAATTTCCAGTGTACATTTACCATTACCAACTTCTCCCTGAAATCATTGACAGAAATTGGCTTTTTTCTTTTCCTCTTCACTTCTACCTCGACCACCATGAGTCACTGAGAATGTTAAGAAGGTATTTTGTGCCCAGCATGGTAGCACACATGCTGATCCCAGCATTCAGGAGACAAAAGCAGGAAGATCTCTTTGAGATCAAGGCCAACCTGGCCTACATAGTGAGCTCCCTGAGGCTACAGGGAGACCCTGTCTCCAAAACAAAACAAAAGTAATTTCTGAACTAAAAACTAAAATCAGGGGCTGGAGAGATGGCTCAGCAGTTAAGAGTACTTGCTGCCATTGGAAGGGACCAGAGTTTGGTTCCCAGCACCCATATTGGGTGCCTCACAACCACTTGTAACTCTAGCTCCATATCCAATACCCTCTTCTGGCCACCCTAGGCACTTGCACAGACATGACATATACTCACACAGACACACAGACATAAAACACAATAGTAAATCCTAAAAAACAAAAATCAGTCATCTGGGTAACATATAGTGAAATGCTATCACAAAAAGAAGAGGTGGGGGAACAGACTAAATTCTGGCAGCCATGAATACTAAAGGACTATCAGAAGGATCTGTAAAGGATCAAATTCATGTTTTCAGGTTTTTAATTTTTAGGATTGCATACAAAATAATTGATAAGTTTTCAGTAATTTTAAGTATTCACCTTTCCTGTTCTGGGATTATTAGTAAAATTTAACCTAGACTCTTTCTGCTTTTTGTGATATTATCATTCGCATTCAGAAATAAGAAAATTAGCCTTCAAGAAACTCAATGTCCTGCCTCATTGAAATCATGCAAAGAGCACAGGCTTCACAGTCATCCTTGAATTTTACTCTAACTCTGCTACTGTCTAGTTTAAAAAATATTTGTGAAGATTAGAATTTTAAAATATAATGAAATAGATCAGCTGACATGTAAGGTCACTGATCCATGATTACCCAGTTAGTAATTGATGGAGCTGAGAATTTAAGACTTAGATCTTGGAACTTTTTTTCACTTCACATTTTTCCAGAGTTTTAGCATATTCTCTACTGTATTGCAATGGTAGGGCTAGACAATGAGAGTACCCTGACTACTGCAAGGACATTGGAAAGAGCCCCAAACTCAACCTGGACCATTCAAGACAAGCATCTAAAAGGACTGGTTCTAGGCCTAAGGGTTGCAAGATTAACAGGTCATTAGCCAAGGGGAGAAGTGAATTCCCTGTAAAGGAAGTAGCAAGTAGGAAATTAATGTCTATAGAGTAAGTCATAAGCTAGTTTTTTCAACATCAGTGCTATGCTGATGAGTGTTTCTTAGAAAATGAAAAAGATATGAGCTCTAACCCTGTGAAAACTATATGATAATATTTTGATATACCAGATACACTGCCTGTTTTCCTGTTTTACATCAGGAAAGCAATATGTAAGTGAAAATGTGTAGCTTAACTGACTTAGAATGCTAAAGTTAGCTGATCAGTATATTTTTATATCCTTTAAGAGAGAACCCATTAAACAATATTAGTAACAAATTACTGCTTAGTGAGTATTCATCCTCTCATCCTGCAAAATATTAAAGCGTACTTAATCTATTCAGGAGTCTAGGCTGAGGGTGCAATGGTCTACTCATCTAAGGAGAGAGACACTTATAATTAAACAAGCTATTATCCTACAACATGAAATGAAAAAATGGAGGAATTCAGGTGTTTTATTAACTCCAAAATCAAGTGCTTGGCCCAGAACTGAGGCCGAGACTTCCTAGAGAAGATGATGGCCAAGTAGAAACCTAAGGGGGGTAAGAATGAAGCAAGGAAATGGAATGAAACAATGACAGGTTAAGAGGAATCAGCATAAGCAAAGAGCATAAAACATCTTGAGAAAGCTTGGGCTAACCCAGTAACACAATAGTAGCATGGCCAACTCCAGAATGGCTACATCCACAGCCCCATGAAAGGGTTTCTTTGGGAGTGGGTCTGACCTAATTTGTTTGGAGACCCTCTTATTATGAAGTATAAACTAGATTTATAGTTTAAGATTGAAAACTGTAAGACTTGTTGGGAAGCCATTATTGAAATTTAAATGAGAAACAAAAATGGTGATAACTTGAAAAATTACAGGGTGTAGAGAGAAGAGGTGGTATGTTCCTTTTAGGAAGACAGGTGATTGCCAGGACTTCTTTGATTCACTAGGAAGCAGGTGGGATGACATTCAGAATTCTCCTTGGTCCCCATTCACCAGATAGGTGGGTTGTAGGAATCAGAGTAGACTCCTGGGAGAAGAATGGAGTGTTCAGCTTTTCAACATGAGCCTAAGTAGAGATGTGAAAATAGTCATGTGCCTGAAATACCTGAAGAGGAAGATTTTGGCTAGGGACTGGAGATTTGGGGACCATCAAGCTCTAACTGAGCCATAGGAATTGATGAACTCACCCAAGGAAAGTGTACAGATTGAGGGGAACTGAGTTAATGGCCTAGAAGAAGAGAATGAGCCAATATAAGAAATAGGGAAAAGCCGGGTATGGCGCATGCCTTTAATCCCAGCACTCAGGAGGCAGAGGCAGGTGGATCTCTCTGAGTTCAAGTTTAGCCTGGTCAACATAAGCGAGTTCCAGGCCAGCTGGAGCTACAGGGAGATCCTGTCTCAAAAAGACCGCCCCCCCCCAAAAAAATAGGGAAGAGATACAAAGAAAAAGAGCTAGAAAAGACACCGGGGCATCATAGTAGAGAAATGAAGGGCTTCGGGAAAGGAGGGCTGATAGGCCCTCAGAATTGCTGTGTCATCTTCACTGACCTAATCCTCTGATTAGTCTCCTGAAGGATCTTCAAAGTGACCTCTGATTGATGCCTGGACCAGTCACAGATTGGGATTCCCTTATTGATGCAATTAAAGAACTATAACTTCACTGGGCGTGGTGGCACATGCCTCTAATCCCAGCACTCAGGAAGCAGAGGCAGGCAGATCTCTGTGAGTTTGAGGCCAACCCCTGGTCTACATAGTGAGTTCCAGGACAGCTGGGGCTACAGGGAGACCCTGTCTCAAAAAGACCAAAATAAATAATAAATAAATAATAAATAAATTAATAAATAAATAAAAATAAAATAAATGCTATAACTTCAAGACTTTATGTCCAATACCCCAGACTTTATCCAGTTTTTTCTACTGTGTCTGTATTTTCTTCTTTTCCCCCAAGGCAATCCTGTGCCCCTCTTCTCATCCTACCCTCTGCCCTCTTTTTCTTTATGCCCCCAGGGTCTGGAATGATAGAATGGGTGAATTGCAGAAGAGTCACAAGCCTCATTAGGGAAAGCTATAAATCCCTTAAAATGGCCAGCTGGCCCTAAATTGGCAGCCTGGCCTTGCTTAAGCCTTATCAAGTGGTTGCTCCCAGGTCTGAGGGACACTGATTATGGAGCCAACCTGTCTCCTTTAGTGGCCTAAGATAGAGGCCTGCCTTCCTCTTGGGAGAAAGAGCCTCAGGGACACCAGACCCTGGCACAGAGTTAACGCTTGCAGCTGTGTTCAACAGAATTCCTATAAAAATGGAAATCGCCCCTCCCTTTGATTCAGATGCCTTCTTGAAGGAAGGCCACTGTGCTCTGTTGTGTCCTGTGAATAAAGAGGACACATTCCTTGCCTGTTTCAGGTCTGGCTCTGGCTCTTATTTTTTAAACTCTAAAACTCCTTCCTTTCTTCAGAACTCCTAAATCTAACAAGGGCAATTAGCCATGTCACTTTGCTGAACAGTGAAGTTCAAGGAGGACTGGGAGGAAGCCAGGGATATAAGGAGTCACTGATGTTTAGTAACGAAGGTTGGAGTTAATGAGACATGGGGGCTAGAGAGATGGCTCAGCAGTTAAGAGCGCTGACTCCTCTTTTAGAGGACCTGGGTTTGATTCCCAGCACCCACATGGCAGACAACCGTCTGTAACTCCAGTTCCAGGGGATCTGACACCCTCTTCTGACTTCCATGGGCATTGCACGACACGGGTGCACCTATCTACATGCAAGCAGTACACCCATACACGTTAAATAAAAATAAATATTTTAAAAAGAATCAATGAGAGGTAAGGAAGTAAAAATAATTAATAGACTCAACCCATTTGGCAATTTCAAAGACTTTGAAGGCATGATGAAGAAAATCCAATAGTACCCAGGTGGAAACAGCAGAAGGGGCCTGCTCTGTACTCTCCTCAGCTCCCTGGTCCTTGTGATCACCATCAAAAGAATTCGGGCAAGACACATATAAGTGTAGTGTAAAGATAGATTCTGTTTACTACAGAGTAAAGAGAAGTATTCTCAAGTTAGGAGAGTGGCAGTGGCCAAAAGGATCACTGCCTTAAAGTACACTCTCAAGTGGTGAACAGCTTTCTTTACATTTTTAAAAGATATTTAAAATTTTTGTTTTATGTGTATGCATGTTATGCCTGAATGTATGCATGTACATTATGTGGCTTGTGCCCACAGAGACCAGAAGAGTGTCAGATCCTTTGGAACTGGAGTTATAGATGGTCGTGAGCTGCAGCGTGGGTGGTGGGAACTGAACATGGATCCTTTGAAAGAGAAATAAGCACTCAAACCTCTGAGCCATCTCCAGCCCCTCTTTTACTTAGATCTTTCTTTCTTGTAGACCAAGCTGGCCTGGAACTCACAGACATCCACCTGCTTCTGCCTCCTGAGCACTGGGATGAAAGGTGTGTGCCACCACAGTTGGCTCCAGATATTTCTTTTTATTATATTTTTATGTGTAGGAGGGTATTGCCTGCATGTATGTAAGTGCATCGGTGTCATGCAAGGTCCACAGGGGTCAGAAGAGGGCATCAAATCCCCTGGAACTGGAGTTACAGATGCTTGTTAGCTACCATGTAGGTGCTCAGAACAGAACCCAAGTCCTCAGAACCCAGGTGCTCTTAACTGCTGAGCCATCTCTCCAGCCCCTTACTTGGATTATTTCTTACGTCAACTTGCATAACATGTCAAACTTTTTTTCAGAGGTTTGAGATTTTACCTTATTATACTAAACTTTCCCCCAATCACTGATTTTTACCGTATTAAATATCAATACATTTTTCTCGATGAGGTACCTGTATTGTTTAAAAAATAATCTTATTTTAAAAATTGACACAAAAGCCGGGCGTGGTGGTGCACACATGTAGTCCCAGCACTTGGGAGGCAGAGGCAAGTGGATCTCTGTGAGTTCAAGGCCAGCCTGGTCTACATAGTGAGTTCCAGGACAGCTGGGGCTACAGGAAGACCCTGTGTCAAAAAGATAAAAAAAAATTGACACAAAAGACTCTTTTACATAAGAAAGAAATATAATTTGGTAAGACTTAACATGTATGCCTGTGAAAGTATCATCACAAAATAATAAATATTTCCATCACTCAAAAATTCCCTCTTAGCACTCCTTACCATTTTCCCCATCATCCATGGATAACTACTGGTCTGTTGGTACTCTAGATTAGTTGGTATTGCTTAGTTGAATATAAATATTTAATATTTATAAT